TTTTTGTTATTAATGTTAGTATTTACTTTCAGGAGTATTTATGTAATATTATTTTAAATATTAAAAAATTTAATTATAGTACGGAACCGAATCGAACCGAATCCGAACGGTTCCAAAATTATATTTGGAACCGACGGTTCCATTTACTAAATATTCGAAAATTTCTGGAACCGAAAAAAAATCAAATCGAATCGAATCGAACCGACCCGCGCCCACCCGTAAACTCAGTGTCGTCTAGTCAAAGTGCTTGTTTACCCTAAATTTTCAATCATTGCCTAGACGAAATCAATCATGATTGATGGAACATGAATCTTTCTCCCACCTAATAAGGAAACAACCTCTCGAAAAAAATTGGCCTAATTTCTCTTCTTTATTTTTTGTTTCTACTTTCTTTATTTTTTCAGGTACACCAAAAGGTGGGGGAGAAAAAAGCCGAACCTCTAATCAACCTAGAAACATAAAAAATTCTTGTTTTGTATAAAAATGAGGATAAATTTAATTTTTCTCATGAGAAGAGGTGTTTGACGTAAATAAATCAAATTTCACGAGAATAAAGTAGGCCATTCCAAATCCGACACGTGGAGGCCACAGCCCACCGTCCCTTGACTGTATGAGGCAGGGATGGATCTAGACCGTTATATTTGGGCTGGACCAAATACGGGCCCAACGGCAGAGATAACATAGATTTCATCGTGATCTTGCTCGCTTTGGGAAACTTTTTCATCCTTCATTCTCTTGCCATCCTTTATTTATACATAAATAAATTCAGTTAACTTGCGATTAATTTAATAATTGGCTACAATGTTTATCTAGGAAATAAGTTTATTTATCGAATCTAACTTAATATTTGAGATCTAAAACCCATATCCAATTTTGGTGTTTTTCTTTTTTTTGTTCCTGTTATCATCGCTTTAATTATTGGAACAAGATTGGGTTTTTGTCTTTATGTTTTCTAGTAATAGTTGCTTGTTCTCTTCAACTAGTTTGATTATGTATTGAATAGGGTTATTTTTAGTACCCACTTTATGAATTGTTCGGTTTCTGGAATATTTAACAATTACGGAAAAAATATGCGCAATCTGAAATTGACAGTATTAGCAGTATTCAGATTTAATGCATTTCTTTCCTAATTGTAGTTATCTGGTTTAATTGTGTCAGCGTTTTGTTTCATCAATACATATCCAATTCCAGTGTGTTTTGAAGAAAATTTTTCCTTTTCATTTTTCCTTCATTCATCCCCTTTTATCTTTTCTTGATTTGGAATAAATATTGATTTGTGGGTTCTAAGTTGGTAATGGATTATCGTCAAGACAACGGATTTTACGGAAATGTGGTTCAAATCACTACTGGAAACTCTGAAAATGGTGTTGAAAATTGGGGTTCTGAGGATGATTATGGGATATGGAATAGAGAAGCTTCTGTTGATACTAATTCAAATTCAAATTATGATGTGAGACAGTCCCAGACGAGATCGGGTAACGAACCGGTACATAAAAGACCAAGAAATTCCCAATCCGGAGATTTTATGGGTTCTAATCGGTCGAAGGCAATAGGAAAAATGTTTTACAAAACCAAATTGTGTTGCAAATTCAGGGTTGGCAGTTGTCCATATATCACCAACTGTAATTTTGCTCATAGTGTTGAAGAACTTAGGAAACCACCCCCTAATTGGCAAGATTTGGTTGCTGCCCATGATGAAGAACGAGGAGTGTCATCAGAGCCGAGGGAGGAGTTTCAGATTCCGATTATAGCAGGTGGTGAGGAGGCACAGAGGTCTTATAAAGGGAGGCATTGCAAGAAATTCTATACCGAGGAAGGCTGTCCGTATGGTGAGAATTGCACTTTCGTTCATGATGAGCAGTCTAGAGCCCGAGAAAGTGTGGCAATAAGTTTGGGAGGGGGTGGCAGTGGTGGTTATGGAGGCAGTGGCGGTTATGGAGGCAGTGGCGGTGGTGGACCAAACTTGAAGCCCTCAAACTGGAAAACAAGGATTTGTAACAAATGGGAGCTAACAGGGCATTGTCCCTTTGGCAGCAAGTGTTATTTTGCTCATGGAGAAGAAGGTATAATTTCGATTGCCATTTTCATCTGATTGAATATATAAATTAAAATTTTGTTTGCAATCTGCTTTCCTTTCACTTGACGTGCCTTTAGGAATCATGCCATGGTTGTGTTTAGAAGGCATGGTAGATGGCTATGTAGCACAGACGCTTCAACTTCAACTGGGGTAGCGTGTCCATGTCCGACACGCGTCGATATCGACACTCCTCGGACACTCTACCATAAACGTTTTTCATTTTTCATTAAAAATATTATATATTTTTAACTCAAAATTATTAGTAAATAACAAATAGGTACTCATATGTAAAAGATTTCAACGAAAAAAATTAATAACAAGTAGAAAACTGAATTTATACTATATAAATGAAGAAATTTAAAGAATTTAATCAACCTATTGGGGACGTGTCGTGTCAATATCTTTTTGAAAAATCGTGTATCGGCGTATCCAACACGAATCATGTCGGACACACGAGTCCGTGTCGATGCATCATAGGTAGATGGTATATACGTGTGTGCTAATCGTATACAAGTTTTCATAGGATTTTTTCAACAACCCGGGTTGAAGAACCTGATGCATTTAGCTAGTATGAGGTTTTAGTAAACTTTATGAGATATCTTTTATGTCATTATCATTTTCTCTGTTTTCCTTCACCATAGCAAAATTTAGCATATATAATAACAATTCGGTTTATGAATTCCACCATCCAGCATATCGGTACTTTGCTTGGGACTTATCCAATGTAAGGCAAGGGGAAGAAATACTGTGATTATCTTCATATTGGCTTGTTCTAATAAAATTTTGGTGTGTGCATACTTGAAGGTTCTCCTTGAATGTGTGCACCTGAAACATGTTCATATTTTTCATTTTGTGCATGTATTTAGTGAATAATTTTGAGCATGTGTAGAGATAGGGAGTGCTGCTACATCGACAATGGTGGCTTGCTTGTAAAGCATTTATCTTTATGATGGCTTTCTTGTAAAGCTTTTATCTTTGTGAACAAAATGAGGTACAAAACTCAAACCCAGGTTCCAAGGTGCAAGATGATGTTTTTGAATTCAGAAATAGAGGCACGGAAGGCTTCTTTTGCTTCTATCTTTTGGAAATCTCATTGTGGAGTCTAATTTGGTGTGTGTAATTATACGTAAGAAATAGTTGTTTGCATATGCTTCAACGGTTTGCTCAAAGCAGATCAAGAGCATGTTTGGCTAGTCGTAAAAGGTGTACGTATAAGTAATAGTAAGTTGCTTATTTTGATCATAAGATAAGAGATACTTTCAAAACAAGCAACTTTTTTGACTTAAAAGTAAACCAAATATGTTTGAAAGTCAAAAGTTGCTTTCCTATTTTAAAGGTTAACAAAACATACTCCAGCTGAGTTTTTCCACCCAGAGCTTGGCCTTAAAGAATTATGTCAAGCAAACACATCTTGGAAATATAAGAATTTTATGATCAAGGATTTTGCGTATTTTTGTTTCGTCTTCTTGTGATTTTTCTTGTGTCATCAGTTTACTATTCAACTAGAGTTTGAAATCTTTCATTAACAGAGCTGCTTCAACATGGTGGAGTTGTGCACTCAGAAACTAAAGATTGGTCTACTCCTGACTCTAAGGAAGGGATAGTGCCTTGTAAAACTTTGGCCAATACTGTTGTTTCGTCCGTCGCTTCTATTCCTCAATCCGAGGGTTATCATATTGGAGTTCCATTGCAAAGGTTGTCCAGTGGGACACAAATGACTGGGCAGAGACCTCATCGAAAGTGGAAAGGTCCAGATAAAATTAGCAAGATATATGGTGACTGGATTGATGACTTTGAGTAGACTTTCCGTTTTATCACACAGAATTGAAGGGTCGAAGTTGTCTCCAGAAAACAAAGTTTCGACCAGAAAATAAAAGATACTTCTCTGTTAGGAGGAGGATTATATCTTGTGCCTACATTGTATTTTATTTCTGCACAATATCAAGCCTATTTACTGTACAACTTGTTTTTATGGTTTGGGAAACATTTGTGGCATATTTTGTCTTGGAGGTTCGTGTACTCAGTTTTGCATGTGCCTTGGTTTCAACAAGCTTGAACTGTGGGGAAGAGGACGTGATCAAAGGGACCTGTCTGAATCCATGTGGACGGACTTATCTCATTTCAAGATCCATTGACTCACTTAAGGCAGATCAGGATATCAAATTTTCATGTCTCTCCTACATTATATCTGGTTTATTTAGTTACGTACCGATTCTGTTTCTCTCTTTCTTTTTTTATTTTTGTATTTTCTCTGCTTTGTGGAATTATAGTATGTTGCCTGCTAAAACTGGATCTGTTTTTCAGGATCTTATTTGCCTTGATAGCATTCACTCTAAAATAGGTACTAGCTTTCATGCAACTACAGGATGAGCGGATAATCTAAACTGTAATCCTTCAATGAATTATCAGTTTGGTTTGTGCAAAGCTAGAGTTTTTTTTTTTTTAATAAAGGGGATCAAAGATTTCAACCCTACCCCTTGCGTAAACCATAATTTATGAGCATGCTTGGCAGTACTTAAGGTGTTGGTCCAACGGCATGTGTAGATAATAAGTAAGTTGTAAGTTGCAAATCTTATGAAATGTAATGATAAAAGTATGTTTGATCAACTTTAAAAAAAAAAAAAGTTAGGCTTTGCAAAACATGCATATCTTATGAGGAACTTGTAAAGGCCTAACTTACACGTGGGAGACAAAAACCAAGTCTAGGATTCGCGCTCCTCCCATCTTATGACTTAGGGAGAGGCAAGGAACTGTATCAGATGCTCTTTGTTTGTATATGTGACTTTTAATAGAATCGAAGATAAAAGTTAAATTGTTTGACAATTTTACCTCGTTTTTTAATGTCTATCATCCAAAAGCAAACGAGGTGAAAGATTGGAAAGTCCAGCCTTAATTTACTCGTTCACTTTTGAATAAGGAAGTTGTCTTCGAGATGAACAAAGATTTCAACAGGCCTTTCTTCAAGCATGTAGGGGACACCATACTTCGAGCATGTCAATAATGAAATTTCTCAGTTCATAGTTACAAACCAACCATGTGTCCAAACCATTAAGACGTCTTAAAAAATCAATTTTATTAAAAGTAATAGAATCCGGTTAATATTGTGAGGCTTATCCCTTAACATACACCATTAAGATGTCTCTTTTAAACATATCAATTTTGAAATTCATATACTCATCTAAGTCTTGATCAGATTGAATGGCTTGTTAGAGCTTAATGTGCTCTAGTATATTAAGGCTCTCGAATTCATATTAGTTGGTATTGTGGGATTTATCTTAAATAAAACGATGAACAAACATTGCAAAGCCATGATCTTTGTCAAAGAAACATGAAATAAAAACGTGAAATATATGAATATAACACACAATGAATATGCCAAACCATGAAAATTATACATCCGACAACACTTGGCTTGGCTTTTAACCTGAACGAAAATTATTGTGGTCATAATGCCACCACAAAGAATTGCTATCTGAGGTTTTCTAAAGAGCCTCTTGTAGATGCCTTCCCCTGGACAAAGATCCTTTATTTTTTGACTTCGACTAGGAAAACTCTGATTCTACAGTCATCTCTGTCATAAGAAATCCAAACTATATCTGCAGCATTTCAATGGATAATGTCAAAAACAGACATGTTAGAACCTTTATCAAGAACTCTTATGGAATATTTGGTAAGGAGGGTTCCATAATGTAGGACAGTATTAAGAAAGAGAAATAGAATCTTAGTTACTATAATGTCTGATCCTCCTATCCAGTTATGTGTACCACATGGACTTTAAGTGTGAGCCAAATGAGATCAAACAGAACTTGAAGATATGAAGAAATGTTGTACCTGATCTTCTGGGTAAATGAATATGTGGTGAGTCGATGCTGAATTACTTTGAAATAAGTTGGATACACTTTACAAGTTGATGTCTTAAAATCCATTCGGTTCAGCTGGAAGCATCTCAAACTCGCACCCGGAAATATAATCTGCAAAGCTCAGTATGGTGTCGTCGACCAATTCATCAAAAATGGTCTCCTCCATTTCAATACCAATATGCTCAATATCTACTCGAATGTTCATCCATTTTCCAGATTTTGCCATGTCTTTCTCGATAAACTGATCCAGAGAATGAGGAGGGAAATGCTGAAATAGATGACACTCGACTTGTTTCCATACCTCTTGAATAAGATCCATCCTCTTTGGGACTGGCCGAATATTCAGATTAGTATATGATACCCCTGTAAAGCATCCAAAATAACTCTCGCACAGCTCCTCTAGAACTTCATTAGTACAATCGAAGAGGGGTTTTTTATCATGGCAAGATTGACCAGGAAATAACTTGACTTCATCAAACAACGATGGGTCAAGAATTTCGTACAAAGAAAGCCACCTCAGAAGAAAATCATCCCAGCTCAACCCCGACCCTAACAATACTGCTTCCACGTATTCATATGCAGATTCCTCGGCCTCCATACAAGTTATTAAACAAATTTGGTCGCTAGCAGAAGATTGTTCTCCAAAATGTATTTGCTGCTGTTGAATTTCTGTTCCATCTGAATTTCACAAAATAGCTTCGTTTCAGCACGAAAGATAAAACATAAAGAAGACATCCAATGGAAGGCTATAGTATTCTATATATCAACTATCTAACCTTGTTGAGACAAGGCTCTCATAAGACTGATATCATTTTCGGTCAATAATGGCTCAAGAACAGATATGGGACTTGGTCCCTCCATTTTATCAATTTTATTCTCAGGATTTTCCACATTCCGGGGACAGAATGTTGGAGACGAAAATAAGTCATCCCTTCCAATTGAATACTAGAAACAAGTAACAAAAAGATGAAACTTTTAAAGGAAATGCTTCTGAAGGAACACTAAAGTAAAATAACACGGTTTGTTGAAAAAATTTCATAACACTCCATGGAGGACTCAGCATATTGGCTTAAGATGCTCAGCCAATACAAACAGCAAAAAACATTGGAAATTTACCGATTTCAAGCATTGGAAAGAACTTGCTCCATCATCTACTTCATCAATAGAATCATACTGGATGTCTCTACCGATTGAATTGATAGTCGATACACAAGAAATTATTGTATTTTTTTCTTCTTCCTGCGGCCTTATATCAGATGTGTCTTCTATCACCACAAATCTTGAAAAAGAACTGGGAACTGTTTAGATACAAAGTTCCTATTATTAGAACATAAGAAGTAAAATACCCTTAAAATTATGTTTTAAGAATGGAGAAAGTACCTTCGGAATTTATAACATCTTCGGTGAGGCATTGTTTTTCTATTTTATTATCTTTGAACAGAGTATTTGTATTAAGAGATGGTACTTTCTCACTGGGATTGTTAATACCGTTACGAGGTTGGCTCTCTAAATTTTGCTTAGATGGACCCGGTGGACTGTCATAGATTTCTTGCACAAGATGATTCATGTCATTAACCATGCCACGAGGAGATAACCTCTTATGGACAGCTATGATGGTGTCATCATTGTACTCTCTGGAACTGCAGCAAGGAGAACTATTGTACTCAGGGAGGGAGAGAATCCGACCCAGAGATTTAGGTAAGTACCTGCTCACTGGCTCTGCATTATCATCCTCATTGTTCAGCATCTCAGAAAGATGTTTCTTTTCTTTGTTATAGATTTTAGGCACCCCTTTCCTGGGATTTTGAGAGGTTTCATTTGCCATTACCGAGAAATTATCTTTTGTTTTCCCAACGTGTTGACTCCTCTTATAGCCAGTGGAAGATTTCCCAAATCTTTCAGTATAGAAATGGTTCCTATTTGGAGAACTCCAGCCAACGTTTTCTCCACTGGAGCCTTTATTACTATCCTTCTCATTTTGGCGCTTTGATGGAAATTTAAGGATGAGACCATTCGGTGAGATCCCCCATCTTTCCTTTCCCATTGCATGCCTCAACTTTCTTCTAATTTCAGTAAAAGAGAACTGAGATTTACCTCTCTCATCCCGCACTTTATTGTCTATGGTGTAATGCGACTGATCGACATCAGTGTGAAGGTTTTGGAATACTGCCGGTCCAGGCTTCAAGATGACAATTTTACTTGAAGCTTCACAGGTCTCATTTCCTTCCAAGGGGTAGCTTTCCAGAGATTTTCTCCTTCTACGGAAGAATTTACGGTGTCTAACACTAACTAAATCATCAGATTTTGAGTTGATTTGTTTCTCTTCCGACAAATTGGATACCGAAGCAGAACCAAGTATCTGAACTTTCTCCAACTGCGCATCCTCCAATTTCTGGATGTGCTTCACAAGTACAGAATTTGGATCTTGAAGCAGTTTCAAGAACAATGGCTTATTTGAACTTAATGTTTGCAGAGCATCCATCATTTCTTCAGAAAAATGGATTTTCCCTTCTTCCCCAAAACCTTTACCATTACTCAGCCTGTGTTCTATAAACACCTTCACTGCTTCAACTAATTTTGCTTCAACAGTTGAGAACTCCAGTCCAGATGGCATATCGAGGTCATTATGAAGACCATGATTCATGCAGCTTGTACTTTTCTGATGAATCCGGGACAACTCGTCCATTAATGATTCCATGTCAAACATATCTGAAGGCTTTTGCTCAGGAACTTTACGAAAGTTTTCAGGCATCAAGCATTTTTCTGTATCCAACTCAGAAACATCCATATCACAACTAAGTGTCCTGCAAATTCTGTTTCCTTGCTTATGATTCTTCTTTATATGGGGTTCTGAATCAATTTGCGGAAGATTTATTTCAAACTCATTTGCCTGGTTCTTTGAGCTGTTGAACATCTCTTCTTTCATAAGTTCCTTCACACTTGTCTTGACAACCTGAGCCTCTGCCATCTTACTTTCTTCACCGTCCTGTAATTCCATATTGAATTTAATGAAACAACCATCTATATTCTGTATGTCTACTTGAGAAAAAGATGCAAAAACTTACCTCAAAATCTTGACATTTTGAGGTGGGATGTGTATAAAGTCGGGATGATCCTATAAATCCAAGTATTTAAAAAAGGCAACAAATTAATAGTAAAATCAATTAAATAAAAAGGAAACTCATTTTTTTCACAACGTGGTAGAATGTTTTGGTACTTTGTTTGACACCTAAAGAACAATATGGAGGAAGGTGATTGGGAAGTTTACATTAGAGGTAGTTGGAAACGGCAATAGCAAATATCTTGAAATCCAAAATATATTGATTCTGCGCATCAATTATTTGTCTTGGCATATTTGATAAGGTGGATTGGATAGTATTGTAATATCCATCACACTGTTCAATACTGTCTAATACAATGTACCAAACATGTACTTAAAATACTTCTCTAGACAAGTTTCTTACCAACAGCTAACTTGCTCACTCGCCTTCTATCTCCGAGCAGTTTTCTGGTGGATCGACCGTGGCGGAAGTCAAATATACTGATCAAACCCCATACACAACCAGCCTGATCCCTATCTTCTTGTGAAGACCATCTTTGTAATATCTTTGCCATAATCAGTTATTCTACGGCTTCAATTCTTTCTTCCACTTGGATGAGAAATAGGAAAGCTTGACTCTAAAGTCGATCTGCAGCATTCCATACAATGTCACTGGTATATTAACATCAGCTAAATCTTTTAGGCAGAAACATGGAAAGATTACAGTTCTATCTAAAATGGAAAAAGGACAATTTTGGATAAGAAAAACACAAACTTCGAAAGAATCTTCTAAGAACTAGAAATTTTTGAACAAAACTCAGCTTATGAATAACTTGGTTCATAGGCTAATATTTAAGTGAATTTGTGGCATCTACAACGAAAAACGAGTACATGATGATCATGATCCATTGATCATTTAATACTAAATTTTCCGACGAAAGATGTATAATAACACTACTGCAAACTACAAATTAAGCCTTGCTCCCAATAACTCGACCATTTGATTCATCATTGGAAGATCTGAAGCAACAAAATTCTCAGCAACTACAATAGTCTATGGTAGCTTTGATCTACCGAGGTCATACCACTCTTGCAAACAGGACATTACAATAATTTGAACAAAAACAAATGATAAGGAACTGAAATAAAAGAGAATTACTTTTAACAATACACAATAAATATCAGAAAGGACGATGAATGATAGGGAAATTACCCGAAATTTGACAGAGCAAGCAACCCGATATACTTTCAAGAATCACAGAATGCACAAGTTTTCTAAGAGAGTAAAGCTCAAGAAACTGCATCCTTCTATCTGAGGCAAGGAATCATGATTTTGCTTTATCTTTGGTGGAACTTTCAGCATGAAAAGTACTTATATTAGTGGCAGTCTAGTCTCCCTCCCATAATGATTACCAGATTTTCCTATCAAGAAAAAAACAATCCCAAAACTTATTAATCATGGGCCTTCTGATCAAAATCCTCAAACGCATTCAATCTTGCCTTCAATTATGTTAAAACCACATTGCGAAAATCTTCAAACACTCAAAGCCAAAATGCAGTTTGATGTTTCTTCAACCCAAATTTCAAGGTCCAACCAAAAGGCTCAGAAAATTCAATGTTAGTTAGTAAGTACTTAAAGCATTCAACATATCAATCCTAGAAGAAAAAGGGAAAAAGAAAACTGGAACTGGAACTTTATTATATGGGTTAGATGGTAACTAATTCCAAACCTGCCAAAAAGAGAATTTTATAGGAGAAAACAGGACCAACTCACTTAATAAAATGAAGCAAAATATTAGGTGGAGAAGCCATTAAAGATTGAAACATGGAAGAACAAAATAAGGAAGAATAAGTGTAAGTGTACGTCTTTTGTTAGTTACGTGTAGGTTTTGGGGTTTGGGGAGAAGTACAGTATTTTAGTATAATGCCATCTGCGTGTGCAAACAGGAGGAATACGTAAAAATATTTTAAAGAAATTCCAGCGTTCGATATTTGTTATCAAGAATTATGCTGGTCGTACAAAAGACAACATCCAGAAGCAATGTCGAAGATGATTTGAAGAGAAATGATTGAATGTATTTTAAACTAACAAATAATAAAATGTCATTTTACGTAAACCTTTATGTCAATGTTGATACCAATAGGGAAATTCGTACTTCAAGATAATCAGTATCCCGACCCCCACACGGGCCCTAATATTTTGGAGAGTTAATTGTTTTGATCATTCTTGCGTAAGGTTGCAATTTTGGATGATAGTGGCATAGTGTGATAGCAACATACGAGGATTAGGCATAAGAGAAGAAAAGTTATAAAATAATTTGAGACGTGGGACGTAGTGGTTCCAACGAATAAAATATTTTATTATTTGTTGCTTAAAAAAAGAATAAAAAAATAATAATTTTTTTGTGTAACTTATACCATAAAAATAGTTCCATCTCGCTGTGCCAAACCTTACAAGTTTGAGGTGCAATTACGGAAATACTCTTTTTTGTAAAAATGACTAATCCATTTCTAAGAGCGTCTTAAACAATGGTGTAAAATATAGATTATATTTTTAAAGTGATCCGAAATCTCTCCAATGGAGAGATGTAAAGGAGATGCAAATTTAGGGATGCCGAAAATATATGTTCAACCTGAAACTCGTAGGGTCCCGTCATGAACAGAGCGAGGATTACCCGCCTAATCGGGTAAACTGGGAGGGAACGGGACAAGGGTCATTGTCCCAAGACGGGTAAGCGACGGGTACGGGAATTATAGTTCCCATCCCACTACCCGTCCTGTTTAAAACTAATTTTAAATTTAAGTTTTTTATTAAACAAAAATAATATATTTATTATATTTTTAAAGAGAAGATACGTTTTTTCTAACAAATTTGTAAAAAATAATAATATTTAAGTAAAGACATAAAAAAATAAAAGCAAAAAAAAATTAATAAATAATAAAACTAAAAAAGAAAAAATAAATGGAGCGACCCTGCCTCGCCCTGCCTCTATCCCGCCCCGTCCCACTTTAAAGGAATATGTGGATAGGGTAATGTAACAAAAAATTTGGATGAAACGGGGGTGGGAATGGTCGATCCCTCTCATACCTGTCACGTTGTTATCCCTATGCAAATTGAATTTTTCGATAAAAAATGAAAAAAAAAATGTAGATTTATATATTTTTTACATCCACTAGAGATAAAAAGCGGATATAAATGTTTTCATTAAAGTAGAATTTTGATTTAGATCTATCGGGGTGTAAATGAAGATGTAAAAATGATTTTGAAATTACCAATTTACACTCAATTTTAATGTATTGAGATTCTCTAAAAAAGAAATTTAGCAAGCAAAAGGAGTTTAATGTATTGGAGATTAATAACTGCTTATTCCAGTTTCTTGAACTCCAGATCCGATTGAATAAATTTGCAAATTTGGAGTCCAACTCTTGAAATTAGAAGTTCGCACTAAAATGTTATGTGATTTGTTGAAGCACAAACCTTGATCAATGATGTGATCCCATAAAATTTGGCTTAAAGTCGTGTTTTGCTGATACGTTTTTATTAGTTAAAACATTTTTTCGAGATGATGACACGTATTCAAATTCTAGCCCTTGGATTCTTGCATTATTACTGTGAGATATATATACGTGCATAGTGCTGTATTTTTTCATTCTTCTGCCTTTCGAGATTCTTCCAACCTTCTGGATTCTTCTACGAGACGCCTTATTCTTGTATATTTGGGTTTAATATTTGTGTTCTTCATCTCTCTTGATGAACTTGTAAACTGAGATCGCTATATTTTTTAGCCTCTGTAATCTGTATTTTTGAGTGATTGCTGTGAGAATAAGGGTTTTCTTGCAGTTGCGATTTCAGTAGGCGATTGTGGAGTTTCTTGAGTGATTATTTCTAGATCTGCAGTTTGTTGTTGAAGATATAAGTGTTCTGTATTTTTCTCTTGTGTTGGAAGAATGTTTTGTAACTTGTTGCCATTTTTGGACTAAATAGTGTGTTTGAGCAGATATCCATTATTTAGATGCTCAATGGGGAATGTAGGAGTTAGATATGATCGCCGAACCTCCAGGGCTTAGGCCGAAATAATTCTTTGTGTTCAATATTTAATTTTTTGCAAGTTTATTTTCTAATCGAACGATGTTTGGTGGAATATTGTTTTAATATTGTGTGTTGTGGGCCTTTTCAGATTTCATCTTATTTTTAAAAATATTGTTTAGTGTCATTGTGGGTTTCATTCGACTTTGCATCAACATGTCAGAATCTTATGAAACCTTAAACTTCAAGAAATTGAAAACATAATTACTTAATTGCCATGATTCTCCATTTCAAATCACCAAGAGAATCATTAAGGGCGTGTTCGATAGAGATTAAAATTGAAAAACAAGCCGTTATGGTTGACTTTTATTAAACGAATGAAATCTAAGAACAGTTATATTTTCAATTTTAATTTGATTTTGAGTTGTACCAAACAAGCTCTAAATGTAGAATATATCTTAATTCATTGAAAATTATTCTTTATTATTGGATTTTGATTTCAAATCTTGAATCTTGAAGATCAACTACAATCTCTTCATACTTGACTTCTTAATCTTTAATCTTAAATAATGGCTCTTCTTGTTATTGACTTTGTCTTCTTGCTCCATAATCTTGATTTCTTCAATTCCTTCGTCTTGATTGTTAATTTACTGTGGATTTTGAATATTCCTCTTCAATATGTTTACTCTTCTATTTTTGTGTTAATGAGATGACATAAAGAATGAGAAATTATATATGAATTGATGACAATGACCCTATTTATAGTTTTCATATGTATTCAACAAATACAATTATAATGAATTTGGTCTCTACACATATAATCAAATCCACATTTTATTTATATACCCAAAGTCCATAATTTTAATTCTTTATTAGATCACTTTAATTAGGATTAATCTTAAAATGGCATTTAATACACATTTATATAGGTCCACGTGATAAATTAAAACCCAACACAATATATATTGTCCAAGTTTGAATATGATGTAATGCTTTGAACTCATTGAAAAATGAGTAATCTTAATTAAAAGAGTTTACTTAAAAATGGTTACCATTTTTACAACATTGGAATTTGTTTTGAACATTGGGTAGAGCTATTTGGGAACAACTAAGTCGGGGACGTGATTTGGGTGGAATTGCAAGGTGGAGTTGTCATTCTTAAGAAATATCGAGTTGACACATCGAGTTTTGACTTCAGTGGCCAAATACAGAGTTTGTAAATTTTGAGTATGTAGAATATTGGGGCTTCAATCTCTAAGAAATCGGGCTCAGTCAATCCAAATCAACACCACAATAGACAACCAATCCCAAACTCTAACCTCCCACAGTCAGTTGCTTCGTTTTGCCCACAAAGGACTCGGTGTAGAAGATGACGTAGCCTCAAAGGTTCAGCCACAAAGGCTAGACAAGAAAGAGAAGACAAGGTACGGTCTAGCACAAAACAAGAGCCTAGAAGCACAAAGCAAGACCTTTCTCTCTTTCTTACGGCTACCAACAATTTTACACACACGCGGCTACAGTGTTGGGCAAGGGGTTAAATAGGTTGGG